TTCTTCCCTGTCCATCAGGGCTGTTATCTCATGGGAACAGGGAAATGCTTAAGCATGGAGTATACTAGTATCACCTAGTGTCAAGTTAGTATGCCTACTTTCTTGTGAGGGCACGTGGGACCAGTTGGTATGCAGAGCACACGGGCCTATCTTGGGCTGTTCCTACACTTACATGATTTGGGAGCAGGAAATTCTGGGAGCAGTCACCATTGCCAATCTGCTGTAGTTCATAAAACCCTGAGCACTTCTGGTGGCTCTGTGCTTCACTGAGCAGCTGCAGTGGTAGCATATGCAATGCACTCTGGAGCAAGCATTAGGTACTGCATGGTCTGTGGCTGCCAGCTAAAGGTGCAAGGTGTGTACATAGCTGCTAGCTGCTTGGTGGTGGCAGAACCAGAGGTGACAGTTCTGCTGGCAGAGGAGGGTTCTTCTGCCAGAGAAGGATGTGGTATGTGAACATGCTTCAAGTTCTGCTTGTAGGACCTCAGACCACAGACTAGGCTTTGGTTCTCACTGGAAATCTCTTGTGACACCGATGCACCTAAAACATGAGCCTCATAGTATGAGGAACTCCTTTCATTTACGCAGGCGCTATGTTGTGTGCCAGCTGTACTTTATATGTCACCCTGCTAATGGCTTTTCTCCTCATTGTGGCATATGTAAGAGATGAAAGATGTTTTTGTTTCACAGAAATCTATGCCAGTTTTTTGCAACAAGATGTATAGGGGGGCAGGGGAGGACTGGTGGTAATCCTATTCAGCTGGGCAGGCCTGTAATAGTATCAGTTGTGCCTGGCTTTACTTTCCTGAAGGAAAGGTCCAGCAAGATAAAATCTGGAAAACAACAGGGTGCAAATTCTGTGGGGTGCAGACTAATAACAGAAGTGGCTGGAGGAGAGACCATTCTCCAATGCATTTTTAGAGTATCCTTCCAAGAGAGCTGGGTGTTTTTATGCATCAGCGTTCAGGTACAGTTGAAAGCAGTCCATTGGAGCACTGATGCTCTGTATTGGATGTGGCTTGCATGCTGAGGATTGCTTGTTTGTGATGCACTGGTGCCTGTTCCCTGGTACACACAGTCTGTTCCCTGTTACTGCAAACTGAATTAGCTAATAAATCTGTGCATGCAAGATACTGAGCTGTTCACATGTGAAACTTGAATCTTAAACCTGGAATGCTTGAGTATTGGTGGGCTGGGAAATGGCGAAGGTGTCAGTGGACACGTCTACATGTGTACCAGATTGCACAGTAACCACTGTTACTGTGCCATCCTGGCACTGCATGGGTTGTTTCCAACGCTACTGCGCAGTAGCATTGGTGTTATGGTTTGTGCATGCTGATGATATGTTGCTGTAGCAATGAGCTATGGCAATGTAGTTCGTGGCTCTGGTGACATAGCATCTCATGTAGACATGCCCAGTGGTGTACTGAGTGAATGCTCTTTCCTTTTGCTTCTGGAGCTGGGACTTCCTACATCTTGCATTGCAGGGGGAAATGGCAGTGTTAGTTCTTACTGCTTTCTCCCAAGCTTACTACCAAGAGATGTGAAGGGGGACTCTCAAGTGACAGTTCATGTACAGCAGCAGGTTTTAGCAGAGCTGTCTGTACATGAATATCGCAAAGGACCGGGCATAACGGTTCATTTCCAAAGCCACACGTTCCCTGAGTAAACTGTGGCTAGGCTGCTCAATGCTTTTCCAAGGTGTATGGTAGCTGACAGTTTGAAGTGTGTAAGCCTTTTGCTGTTTTGTGTCTAGGTGGCAGGGCCACGGATAGCACTGAAGCAGGCAAGGATAGGCCTGAGGCGGAGGCAGGGGAGAACGGGGGATTCCTTACCAAACTTAAGAAAATGTTTAGCTCCTGGTACCCTATCTGAGGTAGGAAACCTCTTATATTTTACTGACTGTTCTTTCCTCCCGTTTGAGCAGAAAATGTATGTTATCTTAGAAGGTGGGTGGGTGAGGAAGCAAAGGAATTGTATTGCCTTCAGCTTAGCCTCAGGCCTTCCAGCCATTAGTGTTAAAGTTCTAGTCCTCATATTTTACTTCTGAGAGCAACAGTCAGCCTCGGCATTGTAGGATTGAGTTGCACTGTAGCTGCTAACTAAGGAAAGATGGTATAGGTTTGTGTGGCTCTGCTCTGAAAAGCAACCATCATCACCAGGTGCTCATCATCATTGTCCCCTGGATGTATTCAGCGAGGTCTGCTGACCAGCTCAAAACAAGCTGAATGCCATGGTGCACAGGCAGAAATAGATCCAGCTTTCCAAGTTTGTCAGTGACATGCAAGCCTATTGAAAGTGACTGGCAGGATTGGGACTGCAGAACTGTTAGCACGAAGAGGTGTGCGCATTGGAAGAAGCCTAGCTGACTTTTAGAGGCTAGATAGGCTGTTGAAGAGAAGAGACTTCTTTTACTTGGAAGCTGAGCATGTTAGACAGAAATCCATAATGCAGAATAATCTTTGGGGATCCAAATTAAACACTGTTGTAGTGATGAGGTAGTGCAAATGGTAATAATGCTTGGAGCCCATGTACCCAACTGTGCAGGCTGAGGTTTCCAGGGTGTCAAGGGCCCAGAGCTTCACTATGTTTTGTCTCCTTTCCCTCAGTGAAGAATAATTTGGTTTTTCACAAATGTGTGTCAGTTTCCAGATTTTGAAAATTGGAGACTTGGATTTAAGCTCACTAAATCCTGAACAACCCTTTTCCTATCTTTTTTTCTCCAGGGAAGCGTTCTACTGGAAACTAGACACTGGGAAGCAGCAGCAGGTCATCTCCCCAAACTGGGCAGATCTTCCGGCTTTGGGCCTTGGAGATGAAAGAATCTTATTTAGCAGCACAGTGGGAACCCCACCCAGAGGCACCATGAACCATGTAGGCACCAGCCGTCACCAAGCTGTGAGAAATCTGTTGTCTTAAGAAGTGATAACAAAAGCAAATGCTTTTGCATTAACAGACACAGAACCCCTTGTGAAATGTTGAGGTTTCTTAGTGCAGGGAGCTTATTCAGACTCTTCAGGCCCTATTTATAGAATTAAAACTTGCATTATAATTTGGAACCAAACCCAGTGGCAATTTAAAATAAAAATTGTACTCCCAGGTTAAAATGAAGCAGTTTGCTATGCTGAGCCTTCATAGAGCTGGCTTTCCACACAGCAGGCATGGGCATTACTTAACATGTCCATCCACTCAATCAGCCGTCTCTGTGCTAGATACGTAGTGCAGTGCATCCTTTTCTAAAAGGTGCAGTCTGTCAATGGCCCTCTTCATGGCAAAAAATTCTTCTCCTGTAGCCTTGCGTAAAGCAACCTCCTAAAGAAGAATATCACTTCTACAGAGATTCTTGTAAGTATCAGTGAAGGAGCAGAATTGCACATGGTCCCCCACAAAACATCCCCCACCTAGGTCACGAGGTTCCCTTGTCATCTTGGTTTCTTTTACAGGCAGCAGTGATTAGAATCCACACTTTGCATTGGCTGTTTTTCCCTTCCCCTGTTACATTATTACAGGTAGAAAGCAAGTCAGTGTATTGCTATTTCTAAACTGGTACAGGTCTTGTATCAGTTCTTGCAAAGACATTAGGGCCTGGTTGTTATACAGCTGATCCCTACTTTAGTCCTGGAGAAGACTTTTTGTTCTGGTGATACTGGCAAATGTAAGCAGGCAGCCTCTGAGAAATATTCTTTCATTTTATATACATGTGTCAGAATGTAGTGAATTAGTTCAAGCTCTTCAGGTGGGGTTAAATGCTAGTCATGAATATTCTCTTGGTCACTGCATCAACCTCCTTTATTTAATAAAAGTATGATGAATCCACATACTAATTGACCAGCTAAACAAGAATTCTGTGTTAATATTTCCCTTCTTAATTTGCTAAAATAAAGCACGTTGCCTCCTATTTAAATTGTCTGTAAAATGAATGTTAATGTACATAAGATGATCTGTTCCATAAAGATATTTAAAACCTCTTGTGTTGTTCTGTTTTCCCTTTCTCATGGTGTCTTATTGGAATAGTATGTTGGACTGCGCCCTGTGAAGGCTTTCTGTATTGGATAACTGGGGAAGGAAAAGGTAATCATTGCTTAGATAGGTAGCTTGGAGGTGTTTCAGGGGAATTTCTGCCCTCTTCCTTTGCTGTTGAATCCGTCCTGAGTAGTCAGAGTAGAAATAATGTCTAGAAATCTGAGTATCCTGACTTGCTTCTGGACTGTTGCTCTATATGGATAAAATTTGGGGTTTCACAAGGCACATTTGTACTGCGCACATGAATAGAACACTGTCTAAGGAGTCTGCTTGATGCTTTAAAATTTTGTTTTCCAGTTGGTTTCTTTTATTGCTTTGCTGCTGAGAATAGGATCCTCACTGAGTCTGGGGAAGTCCAGCAAAATGGAGCCAGGTCTCTGATGGCAGAAAAAGGTTCATCTTGCAAAGCTGAAGTCAGTCCCATTTAAGAACTGCATTAAAAATGCTACTGCTTAGAAAACAACTCTGGAAATGAGTTTAAGGTCTCTTATTGAGTGCTCTGCAGAGCACTGTGTGTTTGATTCATCTAGATCAGTGATAGGCAACCCTTGGCATGCATTCCAATTAGTGGCACGTGGAGACATTTTCCCTGGCATGCCAGGAGGAAACTGTTTTGTTGTTGTTTGGTTTTTTTTTTAAATTTTAAGTTTCCTGCTTCAGGCGCTCTGGAGCAGCCACAGGTCCCAGCGCCATGGCAGGCACTGAGGGCGGAATCAGGAGAACACAGGCAGGGACGTGGTCTGTGTTCTGCTGACCCCGTCCCCTGTCCCCAGGCTGCGCCCTCCAGTCCAGCCCAGCCTATGTAGGGGAGCTGCGGGTGGCCGGGCCACAGCCCCAGAGGCTGTGCAGGGCTCCTGCGCTGGAGGCTCCCAGTGAGTGGGTGAGCCCAGGGCTCAGGCAGACAGATGCCCCATTCCCACATGGGCGGAGGCTGGTTCTGGGCAATGGGGAGGAACTGCAGGCACGCCAGCCTGGCTGGCTCCTTGGGAAGGTGTCGGTGGGAAGTGGGGGCTGCACTGGGGCTCTGCAGATTTGGCAGTGGGTGGGCAGGGGCACCTAGCAGCACCTGAGTTGGGGCCTGGCCTGGCCCAGCCTAGCCCATGCAGTTCTGGAGGAATGGGGCACAGCTGCCTTGTCTGTGAGGGGATGCTGCCTGGCCAGGGCAGGACACTGGGCTCAGGGAGGTGGGGGGCAGGGGTGTTGCTCCTGGCTCTAGTCTTGGCCTCCCTGTGGGTCGGGCACAGTGTGAGCAGGGTGGATCTGTCTCAGTGTGGGCGCCCCCTGGGAACAGCTGCCATAGGTGGCATTCAGGGCTGAGCTGGCCAGGGGCCTACAGTGCAGTGGCCCTGCATGGCCCCAGCCCCTGGAGTGGAGCTGTGGGTGGGTAAGGCTGGGGCAGTTTACCGCATCTTGTTCTGGGGGTGGCTCTGCCCTGCTCCAGGGAGGCCAATCCGGGAGCCCTCCAAGCCCAGCATCCTGCCCTGGTTGGGCAGCGTCCCTTCATGAGCAGGGCAGCTGCACCCCATTCCTGTGGAGCTGTGCAGGCCAGACTGGGCCCCACATTGGGAGCTGCTGGGTGCCCCTGCCAGTGGTGGCCCGAGCCCGTCGAGCCTTAGGGCAGCCCCCACTTCCTGCCTGGCCCTCACCTCCTCAAGGAGCCGGCCGGGCTGGCCTGCCTGCAGTGCCCAGACCCTGGCCCAAGTGCCCAGCCCCAACTTTCCATGCCCTGGTGCTGCCCTTGCCTGGGTTGGGGCAGGGTATATGTCTGTCCGGCTGGGATCTCCCTTCCAGCCCTGGGCCTCGGCTTGTACTGTGGGACTGTCGGAGGCCTGAGCACCCCAGCCCTGGTAGCTGCAGCTGGGGTGTTGCTGCCTTCCTCTGCCTTGACTAGCAGGCCTTAGCTGCAGCTGGAAACTGTGGGGGACTTTCACAGCGAGGGACACACCCTCTTTCTCTTTTTCCTCCTCTTTTTTCTTTCTCTCCTCTCTTTTCTCTCCTGTCATCTTTGTCTCCTTTTTTCTTTCTCTCTTCTTTTTCTCTCCCTTTCTTCTTTCTTTTTCTTACTTTTCTCTCTCCTCTCCTTTTTTTTCTCTTGTTTGTCTTCTTTCTTCTTTCCTTTCCTTTATCTTTCTCCTTTTTCTGTACCCTTTTTCTTTCTCTTTTTACATCTTTCTCTTTCTTTTCTCTCTCCCCTCCATTTTTCTCTTTCCCTCTCACTTTTTCTCTCTCATCTTTCTCTCTCTCATCACAACATGCTTAACAAGAATACGCAAGAAGAAAGGTAGTATATGAAGTTTTATTTATTGTCACCAGTTTTAGAATTTTTAGAAAGCCTGATATGTACTGTGAAGAAAGAAGCCGCAGCCTTTATGATTATTAACTATATTACTATGCAGTATATCTGGCTAGCTAGAAAAACGTCAAACAAGTTCTTGTAGAACAGAGTATTGGTGAGGGGTTTTGCTAAAATTCTAAACATTTCTAGTCTACTTGGTTTAGAATTGTGGCCATTTGTGCTGATGCTGCTTTATATCCCACTTGGACAAATGAAATAGTGGCTTTGGATTCCTTTTGAGGGCTCAATTAGGAGTCAGATCTCAAGACTTTTTCAAAACTTCTGAGTGGCTGTTCCCCAGTTATGTGGCATCATTCGGACTTTCAGAAGTGCTCATGCAAAACTCCCTGGTGGATCAGGATGCAGTGCAAGCGTGTGGTATGTTGTTTTTTTTTGGTTCATACATGTGAATCAGTAATGCTTATGCTATTACGTTTTACAGGTCTGAGATAAGAGCAGGGTATTTATTGGACACTGAAAGTGCCCAAGCCTGTGACTTGCAGGCAGCATTGTTGATGCTGGAGGCGGTAGAGTGCTTGTGGTTGGAATAGAAAGCTCAACTACATGGACAGTTTGGAAATGACCCATGCTAGCAGTTACCTGACGGACATGTCATTCTGGCATCTGCTCCATCAGCAGAAATTGCTCTATTAGCAGCTGTAGGCTGCATTCTCTACCCTTGATCCCTTCGCACAGATGTGAAGCACCTGCCATATCTGCTAATGATGCATAGTCCTCGGTAGGACAAAACTGCTGCTTTCCTTGATGGGTGCGTGGTTTGTGTGCGTGCATGTGTGCTGTGGTTGTGTGGCACTTCAGAATTCTGCTTGACAGGTAACATTCCTGATTATTTTATGAAAGGGTTGGAGCTTAGGATACCAAGTACAGTGCTGATTTGGCATAGGTCATCCAGCATAGCCTCTCTACCTCCAGTGCTGCTTAGTAGATGTTCTCACTGGTTCTGAAATCAAAGCCAATCATGGGAGAATCAGAGCCTCTTAGGGTAAGAGTGTTTAATATTTCCTGAGATGCCCTGCAGTGCAGCCAGATAGGGTACAGTGCACTATCCTTTATGTCATTCCCCAAGGATGTGCCCTCTCTTTTTCATGGTCTCCATAGGGAAATTTACCTCAATGCTGGGTGCATCTACGCGAAAAAAAGTGCTTCTACATGTGACTGGGTTTTATTCCTCCAAGTTTTATTTTGTGCCCCCAAAATTGGCATGGTGTATTTTCATGTGTTCTGTCACTGTATACAACTGACAGGTCTTAAATTGAATAAATCTCAATGTGCTATTCACAGTAAATTACAGCAGTGCTAATGACAATCCATCCACCTGATCATTTGGTATTGAAGTACAGCAGGGGGTTTGGTGATATCCAGCTCACAGGTTGCTGAGATGTACAGCTGACTGAAGCTAGTGGGATTTCATTAATTTAATAAATTAAGTATCATTTCATTAATTTCATTAAGTTCTTACAAGTATTTTTAAGCTGCCACTGTATCGGGGAAGGACCAGGTCCTCCTGGAACTCAGGGGCTTGCCCCTGACCCTGGGAGGTGGTGGGCAGGCTCTGCCAAAAGAAGAATTGGGCCCCTCACTGCTTCTGCCTGGCAGCCCCAGGGGTCTTACCTGTGCCCCTCAGTCCCAACCCACTGCCCTTCATCCCTGCTGCTGACCCTCACTTCTGACCTGCACAGTTTCCAGTGCCCCAGGCCATGCTAATATTCCTCACTCCCAAAATATCCCCCCAGAAGCTGCAGCTGCCCTTGTGGAGCCCCATAGAATTGATAGACCGGAAGGGGCCTGTAAGATCATCAAGTCTGTAGTCCCCTGCCATGGGCAGGAGGTAGTTAGGCTCAAATATGCTCAACGAAATGCTTGTCCAGCCTCCTCTTGAACACCTCCAAGGATGGTGACTACACCACCTCTGCTGGGAGTGTGTTCTAGATTCTAGAAACCCTTACGGAAAAGAAGTTTTTCCTTATGTCCAGCCTAAATTTTTCCTCAATTAGCTTGTGGCCACTGGTCTTTGTCTTCCCAAGGGGTGCCTTTCTAAGAGGTGCTCTCCTAGATCTTAGTGCTCACCCCGATGTACTTGTAGGCGGCTGTCATAGATTCATAGATGTAGGGTTGGAAGGGACCCAAGTAGATCTTCAAGTCTGACCCCCTGCCCTGTGCAGGAGAGAATACTGGGCTCATATGATCCCAGCTAGGTAATTGTCAAGCCTCATCTTAAACACCCCCAAGGTAGGAGCCAGCACCACTTCCCTTGGAAGTTGATTCCAGATCCTAGCCACCCTGACCGTGAAGTAGCCTGAAACTACTCTCAAACAACTTATGGCCGTTATTCCTTGGTACTCCAAGAGGTGCTTGGGTAAACAGGGACTCTCCCATTCCCCGCTGGTCCCCCCAGTAAGTTTATAGATGGCCACCAGGTCCCCTCTCTGCTTTCTCTTGCGGAGGCTGAACAGGTTCAGGTCCTGTAGCCTCTCCTCATAGGGTCTGCCCTGCTGCCCCCTGATCATGCGAGTGGCCCTCCTCTGGACCCTCTCCATGTTGTCCACATCTCCCCAAAAGTGCAGCTCCCAGAACTGAATGCAGTACTCCA